AGAACATTACAAAGAAGTCCAGATGGCCCAGAGAAAACATGGTAAGAATCAAATATGATAGTGTGAGCATGTCCAGTTTTACCTAAATGAGCATGTCCATTATCAGATGAACACTGCAAATGGAAAGAGCCATTTTCAGAGGCCCACAGCCCAAATTGCTTTTTAGTAAAAAAAAAAGTATCCACAAGAGAGTTGCAGCTAAGCATGCATATTTGAACTGCACAGCAAAGCATGAGCACATGCTAGCTAGTTAAGGAACATGAGCAAGATCTCAGAATAGCATGTTGGGTGTCACAACGTAAAGCATGAGCATGCAATCAAGGAAAAGATTACCAAGAGTAGAAATGTAAGGGGAAAGCTATGAGGGAGGACTATGGCCACTGTAAACAAAAAAAGACACCAAATTGCATGTGCTATACCAAAGGAAAAATCTACAAACCACATATATGTGCAATAGTAATCTTTACTATGTGAACCTTGTGTTGCCGGGTGCAAATCAGTGTGGAGCTCCTGTGACATACGGCTCTTATTTGTATTGCAGAACCGAATGCATGAATCCCTCAAACTGTTTGACTCCATCTGTAACAACAAGTGGTTCATTGACACTTCCATGATCTTGTTCCTGAATAAGAAAGATATCTTCAAAGAAAAAATTATTCCAAAGTCCCCACTTACTATCTGCTTTCCGGAGTACACAGGTACAAACTATAGAATAGATAGCACTGCCAGTATAAACATGAGATAAGATATCCAGACTGTAATATTCCACTTAATCATTGTAATTGCTTGCCGTGCTTTCATATACAGGCATATATAGGACGCGGAAACTACACTGGCATGCATATCGTTATAGTCATGGAGTGCAGGCATTTACTTTGTCAGCATTTCCATTATTCATTAGAATGTATTGCATGCTGTAGCAGTTTTGCAGTTTGCAAGCAGATTAATAAGCTTCATGCTTTTGATCAAGAAATGTGCTCTCCACTGTGGATTGGTAGGCGGTACTTTTGAAAATGCTCTGCCCTTCGTGATGGAGGGATGAAATAGTGATTGGCAGTGTTATCTAGCTTTATTGTCATTAATATGTGGCACAACACTAGGACTGAGTACATCTAGGACCCCAAAATTGGCATTACTAGGGTCCAAAGATATCTGTGGCCCCATGGTTACTCCATGGCATCTTGTTCACATCTACTGCTTACTGGCTTTTTCTGTGCACTCCCAGCATAGGATAAGAAAGCACATTAGTTATTTCTGCATCCTTTAGCCAAGCAGGCATGCATGGTATTTTTTACCATATGTTTCAGGGAGTAATAGGCAAACCCCCCACCCTATATATTGCACCAGCATCCTCCAAAATTTGGAAACAGGTGACCAGTTAAGCCAACCAGGAGGTCTGTAATCTTAGTCTCCTTGGTTTCAGAAGTGAGGCTTTACTTATGAATGGATTATATATTTTCTCCAAAGCCATTTATAATTATTTTATAGATTTATCACACCCAATGATCACTGTGAATTTCATGGGTTCAAGAACCTAACTCCAGAAGCATCAGCGTTGCTGGCATTCTTAAATGTATTGTCTGTTTGGGCTTTGGGTTGAGCAGCGTAGTCATCTTCCTTTAAGTGGCTGATCTTTTAAGGGACACATTGTAGTAGTTATAGTGACAAAGGACCTAGGACAGCCTATGTGAGGTACTAGAGGGAAAGAGACTCTATGAAAGAGGGCTTGCCACCAGGACAACTATGCTTGGTGCACTAGCATTTATTAACACTGTATTCTTGATTACTAATACAGCTATGTGAAAAAGTTTAAATTGCTGAAAAAACAAGTAGTGTAGCTACAAAGGCAACTTTTCATAAATATGCTAATGTATTGAATGTAATTAATTTTTTTATGTGCCCAGTAATGTGTGAATGTGTCTGGGCTTTCCAAATCTCAGAATGTTTCATATGCTAAAAAATTAGTGAACAAACATGTTCTTTCCATTCTCTTGCAGGTCCCAGCCTATTCACTGAGGGTGTAGCCCACATACAGTACCAGTACGAGAGTCGGAACAAATCTCCCCATAAGGAGGTTTACACTCACGTCACCTGTGCCACTGATACCAACAACATCCAGTTCGTGTTCGATGCTGTCACTGATGTCATCATTGCCAATAACCTACGGGGTTGTGGCTTATACTGATCTGTTGGCTGTATCAAAAAAATCAGTGTCCTTGGGCCTTTAGCTTTTGGGATCTACAGAGAGATTTGTCCCCTAATGAATATTCTGGAACATCTCCAGTGGCACTTTATGCATTTTGACTTTGGCCATCACAAATATTTGTACAGCCATTGGCTATGTGTGAAGTTGGCTATGTATAATGTTGATGCACTTTGAGCACAACATGGGGTTGTGTGCGATATTTGTGTTACACGCTCCCTGTGTATACTGTATACTTTGGTATCTATTGATGCCCATGAATGTGCCTTATTGTGCTCTGTATTCAATGATCTAACGTCAAAGCACAGATCTGTATAATTCTTTTAAAATATCTATTTAGCATGCATTGTGAAGAAATTCAAAAAGCAAATCATAATGTATGTTTGCACTGATCTTGTCTGCTCAGTGGTGCCAACAGTAAAAGTATTCCTTTTAAATGACCAGTAAACATAAAAAGTACTTTTTCGAATTAAGTACTCTTTTAGATTGTAATTTATGTGTGCTGGCCTTTAAAACATGTGCCATAATACTGCTGTTGTACTGTTCAATGTATTTTTGCTAGCATGAGCTGTAATTTGCATATTAACTGGTTCGTATCGATACCTAAACTTGCACAAATCTCCAAACTGTTTCCTGTATGTATATGGAGTAAAGATTGGAGGTAAAATCTTATGTGCCAGTCTTTCTTCTGATGCCATTTCAGAGTTTATATATATATATATATATATTTAAAATTTCTTATAGCTTTTGTTTTATGTTGAACTGAATTTTATGACACTCATGACAATTCAAATAGGTATATATTAATGTTAATAAACTTTTAAAGCACTATAACAGTAAAAGGTTTGGTTTGTCTCTAAGGCTGTAGATTGCTACAGTTAATTCTCTTCATTATGGATCAATAATGAGCCCAATAATTAAGTTATTTCTTTGTGACATTTATTATTTGATTATCTAATGTGTGATCGAAGGGTACAAGAACAGGCCTATAAAAATGTAATTTTATGTTGGTTGTGGTGGTTTATCAATTTACGCTATGTATGTCGTTTATTTGTATGCATATGATATATTCGTATGTACAAAACAAAATGCAGCTAACTGGTGGTATTATTATTCTCAACTTGGAATCTAGCATTGCATATAGATGTTATATCTGGTTTTTCAAAATGTCAATCCTCATCGATGTAACCTTTTACAGTGACTGTTGCTATGGGATAAAATAACTTTTGAATCCTTCAAATTTAGGTTGATTTTACCATTAAAGTATATATAAACCATATATATATGTTTTTTGCACACATGACTGTAATGTCATAAAGTTTAATCCATTTTTTAATGCCTTGCTTTTAATGAAAGCAGACAAGCATCCACAAACATCTCTTGTCCTAGGATGACAACGCCTACTTCTTTCAGGTGCAGCGTTGTCACCATCAGTTTGGAATACAAGCAGCCAAGGTGATGCTCAGTGTGCTGACATTATGCTGTTGTCTCCTTTTGTATTGTTAACCTGCTGGTCTGGAACACACACACACATACACGTATCTACAGGAATTTCAAACACCCTGCTGTTAGGTTCACACTGAAGCACTGAAAATTCCTACGGTTTTCAAGTGCGATTCTAAGAGCACCTGCAGTACGATTCAACTTGGATAGCTCTGCATTTTTCATGCGGTTTTCATACAGTTGCGATTTTGGATTAATGTCCTAAGGGTGTGTGTCTGCCTGTATCGCCTCTTGTGAGCATGGGACTCTGCAAAGAGCATTGTGCCATTTTAGCTCCCCTCCTCAACATTGCTGACACTTGGAATCGCATTGCATTACAACTGATAAAAACGCACTGGAATCCTGTTACATTTCAACAGATAAGCGTTTTCCATTCAACTCTACTGAGCTCAAATGCGTATCGCTCCACTTCAAACTTGCACAGGGCCCTTTTTCATTTGCACTGCGTATGGACTGCATAGATGTGAATGCCTTCCATAGGAAAAAAAATTATTTTTATTTTATGTCATGCGAATCAGAGCGGTCCAAAACGCATCTAAAATCACATTAGTGTGAACCAGGGCTACAGGATCTGTACAATACAGGGAGAGAAAACATGTCCAAAGTGAAGTAAAAGCTGTACTTCTGTAACACAAATGAATGGCGTCCTATTTATATACGGTGCTGTAAGCTAAGATTTTTTTGTTAGAGTTTAGTTCTGCTTTCAAAATATACAGTATATAACCATTAATATCAATGATATGTCATAGGTTATAAATTGATGGCCTTTTCCAAGAGATGATAAAGACTAGGGCTGTGGTTGTATGTCATATTTGCCTAACAGTAGCATGCCTCAAATATGTGGTATTCACCTTTTATACATCACATTGAGGTTATGATGACTATAATGAAGTATTGAGATTGCGTCAGTAAAAGTACACTCCTGCATGCAAAATATGGTACAGTGGTCCTGTGGAGTTGGCGGCCATAGTGAATAAAGGGACCAGTATTTGTAGACCTCAAATTCTGTGATTCACTATTTAACCTTTTGAAATATAAATCTTCTTGGAAATATATCCTATCTTTTATAATTTCTTTGGTTATTTGCTGTGGGCAAAATATATGCTGTAGCTTCTTTCTGAATCCATGTACAATTGATTACAAGCACTTCTTCAGGAAGCCATAGAATTTAATGTAATGTCCCTTTTTTTTCTTTTGTTTTACACTGGTAATCATTCCTCTCTCCTCAGCCTAACTCCTTTTCTCCTTTTCTTTCTGTCTTCTGTCTCCTTTTTCTCCTGCCTCCTCGCTTCAGAACCGAATGCACGAGTCTCTAATGCTCTTCGACTCCATTTGTAACAACAAGTTCTTCATTGACACATCAATCATTCTCTTCCTCAACAAGAAGGACCTGTTTGCTGAGAAGATCAAGAAGTCTCCACTGACAATCTGCTTCCCAGAGTACACAGGTAGGAGCTGAATTTACATTTCTGAAGAAAAATTTCAAATTAATTTCTCCTTAACAGACTAGTGTACGGTGCAGTTAGAAATGTTAGGTATGGAATCCACTGTTGCACATTTCATATAGAAGGCAATTGGACGACCTTATTTTATACTTGATGGCACAACATCATTGTGTGGTGATGGGACAGGCCCCATTGCAGAAAATCATTACAGCATTTCATTGGTTATTATTTGGTTATACAGGATTTGTCATATAGCGCCAACAGTTTTGCTCAGCGGGGGGGGGAATGTACATTATAATGGGAGAGTGCCCCAGTTGGTGTCACGAGACAGTACAGTAACAATACAATTCAATACCCTGAGGGGCTTCGAGGGGTTGCCCTGCACTCCTTGGAGCTTACAGTCGGCTCCGCCCCCTAGGCCTGTGTGCCTTTCCTGAGGTTCTGGCGGCCAATCACCGGTGAGGGGCGGATAGTGGCACAGGATGGCCGAAAAGGAGCTGTGGGGGGGATGGAGTTCTAGGAAGAGTGGAGGAGATTGGCAATTAGCTGAGGGCGGGGTAGGCTTTTACCTGAAGAGATGGGTTTTCAGAGTGCGCCTAAAGGTGAGGAGAGTAGGTGATAGTCTGATGGATTGGGGTAGGGAGTTCCAGAAGATGGGGTAAGCCCTGGAGAAGTTCTGGATACGGGCATGGGAGGAGGAGACCAGGGAACTAGAGAGTAGGAGGTCTTGTGAGGAGCGGAGAGTATGTTTTGGGTGGTATTTGGATACCAGATCGGTGATGTAGTTTGGGGCAGTATTATGAACAGCTTTGTACGTCAATGTTATGCTGTTATGGTCAAGATGAATGCTTGTTTATGAGCTGTGGTTCCTATATGCTAGCAATCTCACAGTTTGGGCATTTGGAGCACAATCCAGGCTAATGGGTTTGGTTAATTTGCACCTTGCGAAAAAGATGAAGTGTAAATAACCTTTGCAAGAAAATAAGGAAGAGAGGATTTTTGCTTACACATGATTGGATGATTGATGTCAGCACAGCTTCGCCTCATTCCTGAAATGGTTCTAAAGACTGAAGGTTTTTCACCTTCATGCATTCTATACAAACCTCCAGTGTGCTGCCCCCCCCCCCAGCCCCCCTAAAACTTACCTGATCTTGAGCTAGAGATGTGTGTGAGAGTGGAGGCTCTACCAGATCTCTGGGCTCTTGCTGCTGTCAGTCACAGCCAGTGAGCAAAGGGCGGGACTGAGCCACCTCTGTGTGTTTCATAGACACAAAGAGGTGGCTCGGGAGCTAGCATGCAGGAGTGCCCCCAGAGCGAGCAGCTTGCTCTGTGGACACTCTGCAAGGGTGATGGGCTAGAAGCGTGAGCAGAGGAGACCCGAGATGAAGAGGATCGGGGATGCTCTATGCAAACACGCTACACAGAGCAGGTAAGTATGAAGTGTTTGGTATTTTATAGAAAAAAAATTGAGCCCTTAGAACTACGTTAAGCTAGTGAAAATTTTCTTTGCAAAGTAAATATGCTCTACATGTTCAGTAAATCAAACCCAATGAGTCTGATCCACAATTTGGGTTTGAGATTTGCTGCAATCCTTTCCTTATAGTTTGCTATGGGGGATTTTTTGGTTTGAAAATTGGAAACCAGAGCAACAGATGAAATACAACGGTTGCATGTTGTCATTATTTCACCCTAAGCACTTGTGTATGAGGATATCTTTTCATATCTTTTTCACCATCCATACTGTGATTGTTCTTATGGAAAATATAGAAATGCTGCAATAGCATTTAAAATAAAACCTTGAGATGTATAGAAGGAGCACAGCCTACATATCTGTACTGCAGTTTTTCATCCATGTACACATATAGCTCATCAATACAGCCCAGCCCTTTCTTATGTAATCTGGTGATGTGAGAAGACCTGCTTTTGATGCAGGATAGGAATTCATGACACAAACAATACAGGCTCCTTGCGGTCTTTTACATAGGCCTGTAGAAGTTGTTTTGCAGAACCAAAAATCTTCTTTAAAGCGAAACTTTGCTTATAACAACTTAATAAAAAAATGTGTTCTTTCGCAAGAAACATATATTCCACATTAATAATTTTGCCGACAAAATTAGGGTGTGCTGCTGTAAATTGCCTCCAGAATTGCTCCTGTTTCGTCTTGCTGGAGGATGCCATTTTGCTGAAGCCCTGAGCAGCAATAAATCTTTAGATGTCTGAATTGGCCTCTAATGGCTCTGATTTTTGGCACAATGCCATACATGGAGAGAAACAGAGCTTGTGCTGAGTAGGGTGACACATTGTATTACTGAATTTTAAACAGTGTAGGCATTTATTTCAATGTGTTACATTACATACACCTGCTAAAAGGGCCAGTCTGAAGTGATCTAATTTTCTGACTAACGTTCCACTTTAATCATGCTTTTTTTAGTTTAAATGTGGTTGTTGATAGCAAAGGGAGAGGTAGTTACGCAATGATTTTCAGTTCTTACATTCCCAGTGACCTGTGATAACCTGGAGTTTACAGACAACTTTTAAAAAGTGGCCATTCTCACATACGCAGTGTTTGCTCCTGGCATTAGTAACTCATATTAATCGAAATATTCATTGTTACCTTTGGCTGTTGCCCAAGGAGTTTTGGGGGAATAAGAGCTCCACATTGATGGCACTTAATCATACATTAGGGGACACAGGATGAAGTGTTAAACTACACGGAATTATGTTGATCCCACTCCCCACTACCTGTTTTTTTCCTAGAGTCCCAAAGAAATGGGAAGAATGAATGTTTTCTCTTTTCTGAGAGAAAATTTATCAAGTTTCTTTTTCATTTAGCAAGTTTCTTCAGGTGCTGCAGAGCCAGAATGGAGGTCATTTTGAAGCTTTCCATATAGGCTGATCCTCAGCATTGCCGCAAAAGCTGTACCCAGACCATTTGTGAGGAGAAAAAGAATCAGGACTAGCCTTTAATGTGTTATTTTACACTGGATTCTGTTGAGAATGCTTGCCTAGGTATTGATGCGTGAGGCAGCCGCAAAGTGCTTTACAAGTTCAGGGCCATGGTGCATTTAGCTAGTGGAACCCTGTCCCCGAAGATCCCTTAGGGGGTATGTCCTAAGTGAATATGCAGTGGGGTGAAGACTAGCAGAGTGGCATGTTTGCTGAAGCCTGCCTTTCTGTTTCTGTGTGAGCTTGTTGGAACTCCAGGGGCTTCTGATAGCCTCAGTTGTGGTGAGTATGACTTTTACCCTATTTACAGGAAGTATGTTGGTACTTATTTGTCCGATACCTCTAATGAGTTAAATTACTGAGGTCCAGCTGTGACACTTGTGGTTGCATAACGGTGAGAAGAGAGAGCTGTGCCAGATTTGAACTTTGGTACTTGAGAAGTCTGTACTGCAGCTGCCCAGGCTCATTGACCCTACTGCTCCTGCAAGTCCCTCTCCTGGTACTTTTACTGTGCATTCACACACCTTTTTGCTGGTGCTCACTCCTCGAAGGTAAGGCATTGAACTCCATTCTGCCATAAGTCCTCAGTGCTCAAGTTGCCCTAAGTCCACTAACCAGAAGTCCTTACAGTGAGGGTTCTCCCTCACTTTTCAGAATGTGGAGGACACTTGTTGGCCTTTGCGGCCAATTGGTAAAAGGACGTCTTATTCAGAAGCTACAAGCTAGATTTTTGCTCTCTGCCTCCACCCCACTTCACGCTCTAAAACTTGCCAGCTTCCCTGCAAAGATTGGTGGACATCCACACTGCTCTGCTACAGCTGCTCTTTCAAGGGGTCATAGCCATTGTTATGGAAGAGGAAAAGTTCCAGGGTCTCTGTTCAAATGCTATTCCCCAGTTTTAAGGGAGGGAGGAGGTGCTTCTACCATACTGGACTTGATGATTCTCAGACTGTTCCGAACTCTACGAAGAGTCCAAAGAACCTACAGAATTCAGAACTAGACCTCCCTGAGCTCATGTATCTGATCAGGGATACGGCCCTCTCAAAGTTTTCCTTCCTCAGGACCAAGTTCAGACTCTCCACTCCTAAGTTTGGACTCTGCAATCTAGAAGTCAACTAACCCTCTACTTCTACGTAAGGCTTTTGCACCTATTGATGGCCTTCTTTGAGGCCATTCTATACACCCAATTTCACTCCAGACCATTGCAACATAACATTCTGTTAGTGTGGGTAAAGAGGGTGCAGTCTCTGGACTATCCCATAAGCCTGATCGAAAAAAACAACAGACTTGCCCTAGTTTGGTGGGTCAGGAGACCAGTTTTGATGTCTTGGGGATCCTTCTCCTATTGATTTGCATGGTTCTCATAATGAATGTCAGCCTTGTCAATGTGGAGGTGGTACTCAGACCTTGTCTAACTGCAGGCAGATCCTTTATGGGCCCTGCCAGATCATTGGGATCTTCTATTCCAAGGGCAAGTGTGCCATTCTGTTTCTTGGTCATTGTACTTCATGGCCTGGCTGTTGAAGCCCAGGTCCTTAGGTACAGGGGCCTGTGAGATTCAGTTATCCCTATGACTATATCTCTTGAAAGCTAGGAAATAAAGTTCAACCACTACACTAGGAAAGTGTATTTCTCCTGGTGTAAAGCTAATGGATTCCATCCCAGGAAGCTCTCTGTGGGACAAATTCTGTTTTTTCTTTCATTCTGGTCTGGACCAACATTTAGATCTTTTTTAAAGACTGCTTACCTTAGCAAAAGTCTTTGCACAGGTTGCCACTCACATTCTTCCCAAGATATTTCTTCCTTTCACTTTAGTCAGGACTTTGTTCTACTATCTCACTGACCAATTATTCTGAAACATCCTAAGAAGATTTCCCTTTATTGTCTGGATGTGGTATGTGCTTTTCAAGACTTTCTCTCGCCCCACCATCACCAGGTGGATTCAACAACTCCTCATTCAAGTCTATCGCTGCAATCGCAAGGTACCCATTTAATGCTAATACACACTCCACCAGATCAGCTAGTGTTTCTTGAGCTTTTCAGGATCGGGCAGCTGT